TGTGTGTGTGTGTGTGTGTGTGTGTGTGTGTGTGTGTGTGTGTGTGTGTGTGTGTGTGTGTTGTACAAATGTTCTCTCTGTAAACTCGATCTGTGCTTCATGTTTAAACTGAACTGACTTAGCCTGACCCTCGGCACCATTGTCTCTGTCTGCAGGTTCTTTACCAAAGTGGGTGGTGAACAGGGTGTCCCAGTTTGTAGCTCCAAAGGTAAACGACCTCTATTCCCATCAGGCTGTGTCTCTGTCCCATCAGGCTGTGTCTCTGTCCCGTCAGGCTGTGTCTCTGTCCCGTCAGGCTGTGTCTCTTTCCCGTCAGGCTGTGTCTCTGACCCATCTGAACGTGTCCTGAACGTGTCTCTGTCCCATCAGACTGTGTCTCTGTCCCATCAGCGTGAGCAGAGGTCAAACTGTGTCTCTGTCCCATCAGAACGTGTCTCTGACCCATTTGACTGTGTCTCTGTCCCATCTGAATGTGTCTCTGTCCCATCTCATTTTGGTCATCTTAGGCTATGAGGAAGATCTACAAGGCTTCTGTAAAGTACCCGGAGTGGAAGAGGAAACACAACCCGGGCCTGAAGCCATGGATGTTCCCAGAGCAGAACACGCTGCCGTGCATCAGCGTGTCGGAGCTGACGGTGCAGCGAGCTGACTCTCTGGAGAACATCGATGAGAGCTGCTTGAGCGAGGAGAAGACGCAGCAGAGTGACGACGAGGAGCCGTAAAGATGGCGGACTCTGTCTGGTTTACTGTTTGTTGGTTTGTTTGATCAGGTAAACTCATGCTGGACACCTTTCTGAATGCAGCTGCGCTCGCTTTGCTGGATCTCACAAACCTTTTCACAACTTTCTGAAAACCTTCTGTCAGCTCACAGTAATCGGACGGAATCTGTTTCATGGCAGCTACAAACATGAGATCACCCTCACAGCTGTTTCCAGGTGTTCCGAGATGGCCTCTGCTCACATTGAAGGTGGCTGGAGTTTCATCTAATCTTTCCTTGAATTGTATTTGTGTTGCAGTGAGACAAAGAGCGTGCAGCAGAAACTCGTCTGTGAATCTACTTCCTGCAGTCTGTTTAGAAGCTAATGACAATCAGTGTTAGCCTCCTAACAACATCCACTTCCTGGTCGGGTAGGGGTTTGGTTCAGGTGGGTGTGGATTTCTAAATATTTACCCCACTCATAGAGAGTTTCTAACAGAACAACTGTGCGATGTCTGTAAGAGTTGATCAGAAAGGTGAAAGCTCTGTTTTTATCATGTGGGTAAAAAAGTAACCAAACTATAACCACGGTTCTGAGAGGGTCGCTGTGTCCTGGTAGATGTTCAGAGTGTAAATAATAATAGTAATGATGTGTTGATTTTGTCGGGGCTCTGTGCTGAATATTTAAAGTCTGTAATCTGTGTGGGACAGAAGCCACATGAATGTTCTGCAGGTTCTCAGATTTGTTTTCCTGGATGTTTAACCTGAGCAATAAAACCACATTAAATCAGCTCTGCAGTGTGTGAGTCAGTGTGATCACATGATCTACGTCAACAGATGATGAGTGAACATGTTTCAGCTCACTGCAAGTCCATCTTTACAAATTTCTATGTTCTTACAATGGCAGCTGATGGAAAAGTTGCAACCAGCCTCTTTTTTTGTTTTTTTGTGTTTTTTTTTTCTAGTGTCGGGTCGCAGAGGCAGTTCCAGAAACCTCTGCTGATCCTGAGGCATTCCCACATAACATAAATTATCTCATCAGTTAGTTAGGTTTCTCCTCACAGAGGCCAGAAAACCTCTACAGGGCGTTGACCAGTAAGCGCCATCGATCCGTCATGGAGCTCCTCACCCATGTGAAAGGGGAAAATCCAGATATGACCGGGGGAAAGCACAACCACATTCTTTCAGTCACTTGTAAAAACTGACTAGAATGCCTCGAATGATCGACCAGTCAAGCGTGGCCCAGAGGAAAGGGTGCACTCTGGGCACCCTTTCCTCGTATTGTAAAACACATGTAAAAAACCTCGGTGTCTACATTGATGGTTCTTTTAAATTGAATAAGCAGGTGAGTGCAGTAGTTCAGTCCTGTTTTTTTTTCAGTTAAGACAGCTAGCCAAGGTAAAGCCATACCTTCCGGCTAACGTCTTTGAGCGTGTTATTCACCTTTTTCTTACTTGCAGATTAGACTACTGCAATTCATTGTATTATGGTCTAGATCAGGCCTCCATTCATCGTCTTCGGATGGTTCAAAATGCAGCTGGTCGCCTGCTAACTGGTACCAAACGGAGAGAGCATATAACCCCAGTTTTAGCTTCTTTACACTGGCTTCCTATCTCCTACAGGATCCAATTTAAACTTCTACTTTTTGTTTTTAAGTCACTTAATGCCCGAGCCCCTCCTTACCTGTCTGAGCTCCTCTCTGCCTATGCTCCAGGAAAAACCATGAGGTCTAGCTCAAAACTAATGCTGTCCATCCCACGGACTGACCTCAAATCCCGTGGTGATAGATCCTTCTCTGTGGCAGGTCCCAGACTTTGGAATAGTCTCCCCTTAAATATTAGATCTGCACAAACACTTGAGCAATTTAAATCATTACTAAAGACACATTTCTATGCCCTGGCTTTTAACACACTATGACCCAAGCATTTTGGTCTTATTTGAATTAGTTTAGTTATTGTTTTAATTCTTTTACTGTCCTATTATTGTTTTTTTGTTTTTTTACTGTTATTATTGTATTATATTGTTGCTTTTTAATACCATTTTTATATTGTTAAGCACTTTGTGCAGCATCAGCTGTTTGAAATGTGCTATATAAATAAATTTGACCTTGACCTTCATCCTGGCTCTCCTCAACACGACACCCTGAGCCACCAGCACACCTCTCACCTTTCTGCCTGATTCAAGCTTTCTTTGTCTCAGTGCTCTTTCAAATCATGCTATTGTTGGTTTTTGTTATCACAGCAACAAAAATAATAATAATAATAATAATGGATTGCATTTATATAGTGCTTTTCGAGACCTTCAAAGTGCTTTACAATTCCACTATTCATTCACTCTCACATTCACACACTGGTGGAGGCAGCTACAGGTGTAGCCACAGCTGGGGCAGACTGACAGAAGCGAGGCTGCCATAACGCACCATCGGCCCCTCTGGCCAACACCAGTAGGCGGTAGGTGAAGTGTCTTGCCCAAGGACACAACGACTGTCCAAGCCGGGGCTCGAACCAGCAACCGGTGCCTACATCCTGGAATATACTATAAATGTAAAGAAAATAATCTGATCCCTGTGTTTATTCCATTAATTAAAGATTTGAAGACGAGGACAACAACAAGCTGCCTCTTTCTGTCTGTGTCAGACCTCATGTTTGGGTTTTTGCTAGTGAGTCTGCAGGAAGCTGAAAGTGTCCGCTTACCTCCGATCATCCAGAAAACCAAAGATTGTGTTCAGAGCAGGAAACACCAAGTCTGAACCTCACACTTCCCTTCGGTAATCTGAGCACAGATGGAAGAAACCGTGTCAGTTTTCTTCTGTCTGCGTGAGGCTGCAGCGCCCCCGAGTGGACTCAGTCTGAGCTGCAGAGTGTGTGCCCAAATCTCTGGCCCAGCTGCTTCCCATTAAGGTGTGTGAGTGAGGCACAGACACAAATCCACAGACAGTCACTGCCTGAGGCGTCTCTGCAGCTCGTCTTTGGTGCAAACAGGTGGAATGAAGCTGGACAGCTCCTCTGATGAGAAGGACTGAAGCTCTTCATCCTCCTTCTGTCTAGGCTCAACTCCCACACTTCATCCAGGTGACCCCAGAGTGACACACCTCTTTCCTGCCGTCACATTTACAGGTACGTTATGAAGACTCAGCTCACCTGGAACCCTGCTCAGGTGAAGCAGTGCCTCCACCTGAACAACTTCCTGTTCAGAATCAGTGTGTTTAAATCCTTTTATGGGGTGTAGAACACAGAACACACTAGGAGACAGGTGAGACGACCTGAGGCTGATCACGGTGGGGATTTTAAAAATATCACAGTTAAAGTTACTGCAGGAGGTGGCACATGTTCAGCTTACAGCGGTACAGTACTGATTCAGCGGTGACCTTCGACCTTTGTGATCTGAATCAGTCCGTCATCCTCTCTCTAGCAGATCAGTCCAAATGTTTTACTGTGCAAATCCATTCTTAAAGTGCAATGCTAAATAAAGTGCTTGAAAATGTGCTTTTAATAAAGTGAAAGGTGTGCTCTGAAGTGCTATACAGATAATATAAATAAATGTAGTAAGGGAGTCCTCTTCCTTACACTGTGTCTGTGCGTGTATGTGTGGTCTCCTGCTGTCAGAGGGCGTGTGCAGCCCGGTGACCTCCTGTGTGGTTTTGTTTGAGTGCTGCTGAGCACGCTCTTCCTGCCTTGATGAGGAAAGCTTCATGAGGACTGCATCCTCCTTTAGAGGCAGAAAAATGCAGCTGGGCTCCGGATCCTCTCAGCGCTTTATTGTCTCAGGCACTTCCTGTTTCCTGTCTGCTCTGCTCAGATTGTTGTTTGGGCAGCAAGGAGGAAACTCCACCGCTGTCCAGCTCCTTAGTGCTGAGAGGACAGGACACAGTGTCCACGAGGACCTCTGAGTGCCCACGGGACAACTCCCTCATGTTGTGAAGTGACTGACTTACCTGCAGACGAGTGTACATGAAGCCATGAAACCCACAGAGCAACCGTGAAACCTAATTAATGCAAGTGGTTTATTTACCTGCTCATCTCACGTTTTACAGTTAAATAGCAGAAAGGCTGTTGAGCGACTGAAGCCCGAGGCCAGCATGAAGGGGTCACCTGTGATAAAACTCCAGATTAACTTCATTTTACAGCTTTAACATCTTCTTTATATTTTAGGAGCTTTTTCTTAAATCACAAATGCATAAAGATGATATCACAGTTTTCTTTTACATTATGGAAGCACGAACATGTTAATTCTGTATGATCAGAAGTGGAATGAACTGAGCATGTGCAGTTTAATCATTTTCCTGATGATCATAAATCAAAGCTGCGCTGGAGAGAACTGAGAGTTGACCTTCTTGCAATACATAGCTATATGAATATGTGCATTGTTCCTGACTACTTTTGTTGTCTTTTTTATATGTATTAGTGAACATTTAAACGATTTTTAAGAAATAAAGAAATTAATAATAAGAAACAATCAGAATCTGCAGGGGGTTAGGTCTCCCTGTGTTTAGACATTATTATTGGGCAGCAAATTCAAGAGCTCTATTGCACTGGCAGTGGGGTTCGCCTATTGATTATTGTCATGACAAGCTTCCGATCTGGCTCCAGGTAGAGGCAGTACAGTACAGAACAGTATCTGAAGCCTCATTACCAGTCTTATTGTTTTCTAACACGGGTTCTTTTAACAATTCGCTCAGTCGTAATTTTGTTGTTAAACACTCCTTAAAGATATTAAGTCAAATTAGGAAATCTCTCAAACTACCTGATTTTTCAGTAGGAATGCGAATAATACATAACTACTTAAACCAGGTAAAATGGATAGGGTGTTTTTAGAATGGGGGGAAAAGTCCTGTATATAAGTCCTCAAATACATTGAGGACTTATATACAGATGACAAATTTATGTCCTTCCTTCAACTTCAAGAAAAGTTTCAATTACCTCAATCACATTTTTTTTCGTTATCTTCAAATAAGGAATTTTGTTCAACAAAACTTTTCAGACTTTCCACTGAAGCCACGAAGTTAAACTTAATTTGATATAATTCGGAAAGCAGATTTTAAACATTTGATATCTCAGTTTGTTAAGTGCTTTACAATCCCAGTTGATTCCGACCGAATTAAGAAAACATGGGCTGAAGACCTCGGGGTCCCTCTGTCTGAAGACCAATGGTCAAATTGTTTGTCCAATATTCAGAAAGGCTCAATAAATGCCAGATATAAACTAATCCAGTTTAAAGTCATTCATAGACTACACTTTTCTAAACTTAAACTTAACCGGATCTATAATTCTGTATCCCCCTTATGTGACAGATGTAAAGTCGGTGAAGGTTCCCTTGCACATTTATTTTGGCATTGCCCGGTTTTGAATGCTTTTTGGAGCCGGATTTTTATGTGGTTTTCAAACCAATTTAGGAAAAAAGTACCACGTGATGGTACATTGGCTATACTTGGATCATTTGCATCAGTCGAATCTTTTCCCTTTTGACAAAAACAGATAATTACAATGATACCCATTGTAATTATCTCTTATGCTGGCTACAAAGAAACTTATTCTTTTACAGTGGCGGTCTTCTTCGGCCCCGTGTTTTAACAGGTAGCTTAATGAGATGGTGTCTGTGGCCAGGGTGGAGCACATAAGATTTGATAGAGAGGGGAAACTGGCGAGTTTTTGTATGATTTTGTAACCATTTCTAGAATTCTTAAAAAAATAACTGATCATAATTCATGCCTCACACTCCGCGTGAATTATTTTATTTTTTATTTTTTATTTATTTTTTTTTTCTTCCTCTTCTTTTTCTTCTTTTTTCCTTTCTTTTTTTCCCCTTTCATGCTTATAAGTTCACAAATGTTAAAAACAGTAATTGTTCTTGGTTGATTTTGTATAAGCATGTTATGTTTAATTTAAATGCAAAAATAAAATTTAACAAAAAAAAGAAACAATCAGAATAATAATGATAATAATAATAACAGGTTTAACAGAGCAGGTGAGAACAGCTGTACTTTGCTCAGGTTTTTAATGCAAACGTCTTAAAGCACGTTTAAAAAGAACGAAGAAATGAACATGAACCTTTACCTATGATCTGGAGAACTTACGATCAATGCCAGCAAGTGGATCTGGAGACACAGTCTGACCGGAAGCTGTACTTCCTTGGGACTTTTATTGTGAAAGTGAGCAGAGGTTGTGCCCGCAGTGGTCGCGTGTAGCTTACCGTAGCTGCTCAGAGTTTCTCCTCCCGGCGCACTGAGAGCCGTGCGCACTACTTACCGGACTGAACCGAGCACAGAGACCGGAACACGGAGCAGGAGGCAGGCAGAACCGGGTCGCAGGTAAGGCGCTCCCAGTCCTTCAGACTTTACTTAAACAGTCTCTCAGAGTCCCGCAGGAAGCGGCTCCTCCTGCCGCGGAGCCGCGCACAGTCCGCGGGTCCGACCCCGCCACAGGTTCGAGTCTCTGAGGGTCTGGATTCACACAAGGGGTCTGAGGGGATCCAGACTGGAGTCAGAGTAAATTAGTGTGAGGGACAGCAGGACTTCTCTTATGTTATTGTATTTTTACACACCTCTGTTGCTGTGAAGCTCGCACACAAGAATTTCACTTGCCTTACCAGCGTACCTGAACATGTGATGTGACAATAAAAGTGATTTGATTTGACTCGAGCTTCTGATGTTAGTGGATCTCTGAGGTTTTGAAGGTCTAGGTTTGCTATCCTGGTCCTGGTTTTATGGTCCTGGCTCTGGTCCTGGCTCTGGTTTCAGGGTCCTGGTTCTGGTTTTAAGGTGATGCTGGTGTATTTGGTGCATGATCTGGTTTCAGGGTTCTAGTTCTGGTTTTAGGGTGTGTGCTGGGTTGTTGGAGCCCGTCTCTGCCTTCACTGGCTGCAGGACAACATCGTGATTGCTGACATCATGATCACAGCTGATCTTGTCCTCTGAGCAACTTCATCATGACATCATCAGCTGGTCATTCATCAGTTCCTTTTCCTGTTTTTTGATTTCAGTTGATCAGCTGATAATCAATGAAAGGATTGATTTCTACAGCCGAGTGTTTGAGGTGTTACACACACACAGAGCAGCACCGTATGTGTGTGTTTGTGTTGAGAAGAACAGAACAGGAAGGGAAAACTCCCTGTGATGTAACATCCTGTTTATCAACGTGTCATGGCCTCTGATTGGATGTTTTTGTGTTTTATTGTCCGGTTATTGCCCAGCATGTCTCTGCTTCGTAATTCTGTGTGTGAATATTTGTAAAATCATCACCCTGTGGGATTATATCTGACCTCTGACCTCAGCCTGGACCGTTATCTTTGGCTCTGTGCTGATTCGTACCTCAGGTCTCTGATCAGAGTGAAGCGTCTCCTCGTTCGTCTCACTGTTTCAGGGCCCTGAGACGGGTTCAGGGGCAGAATGATGCTGAACGTGACACACAACAGGGTCAGAGGTCGGTGGAGCCCAGTTCCCCCGACAGCCATCAGTGTCAGAGAATAATCTTTGTTTTCCACAGAGGAAAGCAGGTTTCCTGATTTTAGAGCCATCTGTGAATGTCCCACCTGGTGCCCACAGGTAGTCATGTGCGTTCCTTGGGCTTTAATAGTTACCTGCAGCCTCACACGATGTACACCACAAACTTTAACTGTTAATCCAGTCCAGTCAGTGATGATGCTCCAGGTCAGAGTTCAGGTTCACATCAGCCTGTCTGTAAAACACACCTGAATAAATCCTGTGCTCCACCTGAACACGCCGCTCTGCCCTGAGAACATGTTGCTCCGCCGGTTGGTCTGAAGGGCTGCTCCTGGTTGAGTTCTTAAAGTCAGACATCTGTCTTCATAGACTCGCTCACTGAGTTCTGCTGTGATCCTGCACGTTTGGGATCTCCTGCATGTGGAGTTTGTGGTTAAATGGGGATTTCAGGTTTGGCTCAGTTTTGCCTTTCTATGATCATGTGATGTATTTATCCTGAGAAGCTCGAACTGTGAAACTCCTGTTTATCTGATCACCTCCTGATGGCTCGCTTTGATTTCCAGGGAAGCTGTAAAATAGTTTTTTAGTGTAAGAGAAGCGTGTGTTTCTGCACACACTCAGTAAAACAGGAGGTCGCTCTGTGTGCAGAGGGCTTTTTAAACCTCAGCAGGTAGGGCT